TAAACAAGGGTTCCTCCACTGTTGCTGAGTATGGTCGCAAGTTTAAGGCTACATGTGATCAACTAAGCGCTATTGGCCATCCCGTTAGTGAGATAGATAAGACCCATTGATTCTTACGTGAGCTTGGGTCTTCTTTTGAAACGTTTTCAACAACTCAAAGAGTTGTACCTCCCCGCCCCTGCTTCTATGATGTGTTATGCCAAGCAGAGAGTCATGAGCTCTTTCTTACCTCCATGAACAACTTTCCCCCTCCAGTTGCCTTTAATACTTAATCTACTCGCACTCCCAATCCTTCTTCTAAAGGACGGACCAGTAACTCAAGGGGAGTTCCTCAGGTGGTCGTGGTCGAGGCAGACGCCCCCCACGTTGTCAATTTTGTCGCAATAATGGCCACTATGCCAATTCATGTCCTGATCTCACTACTTATGCTACTCACGGTTCTCCTGTTGATGCTAACCTTGCCCAAGCTTTTCAAGATCAGTGCAAATGTTAACACTCCGGACTAGTTTGTCGATTGTGGTGCTTCTTCACATATGACCAACTCTACTAAAAATCTTGATTCTTCATCTTCCTATTCAGGAAATAAACAAGTGGTATTTGGCAACGGTAATTACTCACACACCTCTCATATTGGAACTTCTTCTATAACTAAGGTAACTTGCAGATAAAACTGATTTTAATCAATTAAAAAAATAGTTAAAATTAATTTGGAATTAAATGAGATTAATTATAATTAATCAGGATTTATTTAAAGGTGCAATGATTGAACGTTAATTGCTCAATAGTTGAACAAAATGAACATTCTGAATCCCCACAAGGGGATGGATGGTTTTGAGGAGGTTTTGGAGGCTTCCAGAATCGATCTAGGTATTAGATAAGGAAAAGACTTGAATCATGATTAAATCTGATTATTTAATTGATTAAAATCAGTTTTATCTGCAAGTTACCTTACGTGGCAATGACATAGTATGTTATCTTCATGTTTATTGTGCCTACTAAGGGGCTGTTTGGTAGGATCTGAATTTTTAAGAGGTCTGAATTTCTAAGAGGGTCTGAATTTTTAAGATCTGAATTGTTAACATGCTGATTGGTTGGAACCTCTGAATTTCTATGCTGGATTATAAAACTGACCATTGTACCCTCTTTATTACTTTTTAAAGAATTCAGTGTTTATTTTTATAAAATAAACGAACCAAAGCCTTCAATAATATATATATATATATATATATATATATATATATATATATATATATATATATAATCAAAAATAAACATACAAATTTAAATATATTTTTTTAAAATACAATGCTCTAACCCGAAGAGGCAAAAGTATGATGCTATAATAAAGAAATCAATAAAAATACATTGCTATTTCTTACATTCAATCCTTACAAAAACAAGCTATAAAAGCAATCCTCACCAAGTGACAGATACATAATCAATAAAACTATCTATTGTCGATCAATTAAAGAAGATGCTAACTGTTATGACGTAGATTAGGTGGAAGAACATGGACTGGATTAATGTACTTCAATAATGATCAAATGAAGAAACTCCATATTTGGAAAACCATTGAGAAATGGATGAATGCTACCTTTGTGATGTTGTCTCTATCCAACATTGCCCATAAAGCGCATCCATATGCTTCCTGTTGAACCCATTTCTCTTGAACCGAAATTTCTTTGAATTTCTAGTCCCTGCACACTACAACTAAACATTCTATCACTTTCATGTCAACAAAAAATTAACCACAACAAATCAGTAAAAAATCAGACGAACTAATGATTTCATATAAGCGAATTACATGAACTATTGATTTCAGCTATAAACTTTTCAGTAGATATTAACAGAAATCAGTCCATCAAAATTTTCATAAAGACAACATTTGATCATCAGATGAAATCAACACACAATTCAATCAGAACATCATAATTTCAACAAGAAATTGTCATTTTCATCAGAGTTGGAGGAGAGTATTGGGACCTTATCCTCGATTTCAGTAAAAAAATCAAAGAAAAATTAGGGATTTCTGAAGAACGGATTACAAACCTGAAGCGGTGGCTCCAGAGGTGCGGGAGGGTGGCGACGATCGGAACTGTGAAGATGGAAAGGAACAACGTGGGGAGGCGGAGGCGAATTCGATGTTGGCGACGATAATGGGGATCGAAGTTGCAGCAAATGGGGGTTGAAGAGAGGCGTCTGCGCCCGAGGAGAAGAAAAAGAGCGTGAAAAGGAGGCGTGTTATATTAGGGCAGGAACGTCTTTTTTCTTTTTCAGACTTGGGTTTATGTCTGGATTTTTCAAAGGCATTAACCAATTAAGAGGTATTTTATAAGAGGCTATCAAGCATTGCATATCTTAATTTTTAAGAGGCTGCCTCTTAATTTGTCTATTAAGAGGTAAATAAAGAGGCCCTAACCTTGTTAACCTACAAACCGGTATGTATTGGTGTGAATCCCTTATTTTACTGGTAAATTACGAATTTGTCAGTTACCAAATTGAAACAAAACACAAAGTTGATTTTGTTACCGGTATGTATTGGTGTGAATCCCTTATTTTACTGGTAAATTACGAATTTGTCAGTTACCAAATTGAAACAAAACACAAAGTTGATTTTGTTACTTGTTCTTTTTTTTTTTTATCTATAATAGTAACATCTTTGTACATAATATGTATAAATGCATATTTTTATTTTTTTTACCGATAATAATATACAACATGAAACTTGTCTAGTAGACTAGTACTATACACAAACTAGACTCAATGACCCACATCCACTACTTTTTAACTTCAAAGTTACCACTTAAATCAGGTAAAAAGTAAAAACAAACTTATAATTTAAAATTACCACCACCCACTAAGGGAATAAACTATACGCTTATATCTGTAAAGTTTTAGCATTAGTACTCTCATTAAAGAGATTACACTGTTACATTTAACAAATTTTAACTTCAACGGTGTGTCGGCTTGGTTCGGTTAACCACAATGCACCGTGGTTGCCTGGTTCGACCCGAGCCAAAGAACCACGGTGCACCACTGGGTTATACCTGGTTTGTGACCATTTAACAATAACCTATTGGGTGGGTATTCACACTTGAGAAAATAGTACAAGAAATTTGAAAACTAGAGAGGGATATAGATACAGTTTTCTATATATATATATATATATATATATATATATATATATATATATATATATATATATATAGCTGTTGATGATTGAAAGAAAGAGGCAGAGAGCACTAGGTGGGGCCGGTTTCGGGTGCGAGTGTGTTTGAGGGCAGGCTAACCCCGGCTCCTTTCACGGATACGTTAGCGGTTCGACGGGTCATGAGGTTGGAGTCAAGAAAGAGGACCACCACGGTGATGTCATCGTGGAAATGACGGCGGACCCCACGGTCGATTTTTTTTAAATCGGAGTATCTCATCTCCCGCTTTTTTGCTGCTCGTTGTAATGCGACTTTTATTAATCTTCTAGCACTCCCCTGCATCAACAAATATGCCATGTTTATTGTGATAATTCATTATTCAAGAAATAAAAATGTACTTATGTACTTTCATTTCTTTATATTACATTTAAATAAGCGAGTGATAAAAATTTTTAAAAATTCTCTATCAATCTAGGAGTTGCAACCTCCAAAGTCTAAAATCATAACACAGGTTTAAATGTTTGTGTTCTAAGGTATGGGCAAAATACTGAAAAACACAACTTATTTATAATTATAATTATTATTATAATAGTTCAGTGGCTAAATTCATAAAAATATAATAGTTTAGCGTCTAAGAAGATGAAATGCTGAAAGTATGTTGTATCTTTCTATAATTGGTGTTTTTTTTAATCGATGAAAAATAAAATATATTTTAGCGTTGAGGTAATTAGTTAGGGAATTTACACTGTGTGGATTATTTTGAACAATATCAACAGCTTCTTGGTTGCTAAGGTGCTCCCAAAGTCCATCTGAAGCAAAAATGATAAACTGATCATGTGGCTGCAATTGGTGCACTGAAACCGATGGATCAGAGCTCAAAATCGGTCTTTTAAAAGGTTCACGAAGCCTGAATTTCGCATATAAAGGCGCCCTATTGAATTCCGCCTTTTTTAGATATACATCACCAATAGATCTTGATATCTGAACAAAAAAAAAAAAAAAAGTAAAAATCATAACTTTAATATTCGGAAATTAAGGCTAAAAGTACGTTGCTATTTACCTGTATGAGGCCTTTGACTCTCCACACGTTATGCTTCAAAACAACAATCTGTGAGTCATCTGGATGCGTAGAGTGCAATTCCTGTCTCACAGATTCTATACACGCGTTATGTTCAGCTGAAAGCTGAATTGCAAGAACTTCACCAGTTGCCTTCACAAGTCTTCCTAAAACAGCCCTAGAATCTCCAAGATTTGCAATGTAAAGGCTCCCACTACATACAACTCCAACAAGGCAACATGATCCAACGGCTGCTATTTGTGGTTTCATCGGCCATTGTTTAGACACAATGGAGCTGAAACCATCTTCAGTTGCTTGAAAAGCCTTCTTTATTACCTCCACTGACATCGATTGATTCTCTGAAGTAAACCCTATAAAAATCAACAACTTTCACTTAATGAACTTAATTCATGGACTTATTAATGGAGAAGAGAGAACTTAAAAGTTTTTAGGGTTCTTGACTTTGACTTACTCTTGAGATGTTGAAAGAGGTGACTGTTGATGAATCGTGATGTCTCAGGGCCTCCATGTCCATCATACACTCCTACAAACGTACCATAAGGGCCTGATTCTTGTAAGCTTAAACACCCTGATTCGAGTTGGCTTTGATCTTCTAATAAATTATTGGCTTGAACTACAGCCATGGAGAAATCGCCATTAAAATGGTGTCCTGTATCTTTGTACCATAAGAGTCCGTCTTGACGACCGCCGGAATCAGAACCATTGTGAACATGTCGGTCCGAGCGTGGCCGGAAACAGGCCCACAAAAAGTTCATGAACCCAGATAACATGCCTCATCTCATCACAACATCTCTCGGAAGTATCCTCATTTCATTAAGATTTCCCCCAAAATCAAATTTCGATCTGTAAAATCCTGCATTCAGAAAACTATAGAGATAAGTTCAAATGTTACAATCGATGTAACGTAACACACATGATCATAAGAGCTTTAGAAGTTGAAAATTTACAAAAAGGGGGAAAAAGGGGCACAAAATTTAGAAAATAGAGTGGTCAAATTAAAATATAGTCAAACCTAATTGACCAATTCAAAAACTTGTGGAGTATTTACAACCATTCAACAGAAACCATAAAACCCTAACTTCTTCGAGATTCTCAAGAGTTCGAAACAAATTAATAGAATCCGATTGAAGTAATTAAGAAAATTTGCTCACGCTTGTAGCTGCCTTCGAAGTTAAAAGGAGAAGAAAATCTGGAAGTGAAAGAGTTAGATCTACGGATCAAATCAAACCAAAAACGGAATTGGGTATTCACAAACGAACCCTTGTTTGGACAATAAAGAGTGAGAGAAAGAGTATCACACAGCAGTTGTAAGTTGTTTTTGATAATAATGATGATGATGATCCGGAAACTATAAGGTTTTGTTTCGGTCTGGTTCACTTAGCAGACAAACGCCATTAAAACCCACAATTGAGAGCTTGAAATCCAGCAAAGCAGAGAGAGAGAGAGAGAGATAGTCAGAGGAGTTTATCAAGATAATTTGATATGGTGTATTGATAGTGTTTATGAGTTGTCCAAGACGTGCACTTGACATGAAGACAAGTGGCACCAAGCCCTTGCTTTAATGTTATATCTTAAAATCGATGAAACAAATCTTATTATCCAGATTTTATAGAAAACTCCAGGTCTGTTCTATTCTATAGGGAGGGTGTTTTAGGGCTGTTTTTTTTTTTTTTTTTTTTTTTTTCAGATTTGTGCAATCATTTTTGTCTGCGCCGCACAGACATATGCTCTTACAGAGTTTTTGTTTTTTGGAAGTGCGCAGATCAGAAAACGTCTGCGCGAGGTCTTCATGGCGTAGACATGGGTCACTATCTTCAAAGGTCTTCACGCCTCAATTTAACCTAAACCAAAAAAAAAAAAAACGTCGCCTATCTTTTTTTCCTTTCTCCGCCGCATATGTTTTTTTGCTAAAAATGCATTTTTTTTATGTTTATGACATGAAATTAAGTTTGAAAAATCAGTTTATTTCAGTACCTGCAGACGTTAAAAACAAGCAGACTTTTTATTGCAGACAACTGACATTTCATTTATAAGGTCGGTAGGTGTGGTCAACCTCTAAATCGGCGATTTTAGAGAAAAAGAAGGAAACGTCGTTAAATGAAGGTTGTGGTGGTAACGGGAAGCAAAGCGCATACATATAACGCCCAAAACGGTGAAAGGAGCGGTGTTTGTGCATTATAACACGCAAAAACGTCTCGGTGGCGTTGCCCATACCTAACGGTCTAAATAAAATAGACTTATTTGCTTTTTAAAAATTCATTAAGTAAAACAAAAACATGTTTGACAATATGAAAATAACTTTTTATTAAAAGATTTCAATAAGTTACGATTTTTAATTTTTCAAAACCCTTTATAATTTTTTAGGTTGTAAAAGATAAATACCTTTTAAAACATGTATAAGCTAAGACAGATATTTAAAAAAAATAACTTATTGACTTATTGATTTTTTTCACCATAAAAACTAATTCAAACATTTTTTAAAAAACTTATTTTGCTCACCATCATAAGTCAATAAGTCATCTTGAGGTTCAAAATATAATCTCAAACAACCTCATAGTATGAGCCGAGGTGTAAAGGTCAAGTTTTAAATCACGGTCATGATATTTTTTAAGGTGTGATAACTTATATACATTAAAAATAAATCATATAATAATAAATTTATATCAAATATATCAAGTTTTTAGAAGAGCTAAATTAGCACTAAAAACTTAACAAAAACTCAATTGTTTCATTCTTAATAAAAAAACAAACAAAAAAATCATGTGCCTTGGAAAAACATGTGCCATAAACGGCAAAGCATGTATTGACACGTTATTTGGGCGTCATGCATAGAAAATCTGTCTCAGATGTTTCAAGACGACTACACCGTACCTCATGCCATGGTGCGCCTTTTATAACCATGCAGAAAATTGCAAATTTAATGTTTTATATAAAATAAAAGGTTAAAATAATATATTGTGCTTTGTTCGGATTAAGCCTTAATTATATATTTTTTTTCTTAAAAGGCCTTTGTACTTTTTATTTTTTTCGACTTGACCGTATTATTAGTTTTTTCTATAAAAAATTGTCAAGTGCAAGGATTTTTTCAAAAATTTAAATAAATATTTAGGGCTTTTCGAAAATAATTAGAAATTTGTGGGTTTTTTTTTGGAAAAAAAAAATAATAAATGTTAGAAGTTCTTTTAAAATGACAAAATGTTAAGTGCTTTTAAGAAAAAAAAATATAAAATAAAATTATGGTTTAATTTGGAAAAAATATAATATATAAGATTTTTTATGATATTAACCTTAAAATAAATAAATAATATCATGTAGAACAATGATATAGTTTGTTTATTAAATTGTTAATATATGGAATAAATTGGTAACACGGTAAAAATGTCTTAGTGTTTTATAGTTAACTCTTATCTTATAATAATAATAATAATAATAATAATAATAATAACTAGTAGGATGCCCATGCTTCGCATGAGACGGAAGGATATCGGATTTTTGACTACAGGACGAAAAACTAAATACTGTATGTAGAATTTGTTGGATGGGTAGTAGGTTGAAATTGATTATATTTTTAGGACATAATAAATGGGATGGTTTGATGTGCAAATATCTTATTTAGTTTTTATTGTTTTATAAAATATGTCAAAATGTTTAATTAGTGTTGAGTCATCATAAGAAAAGATAACTCATTTGAATAATTATACCCAAACGACATTGTTGTTCAAAACAAAAAGAGTAATCAACACTCAAATATTCTAAAATGGTGTGATAAGCATCCAATCCTTTATAACTTTTACTCAAATCTCCACTTATAAATTCTCATAAATGTGACATCCCTAAATTCACGGTCATTTTAAAATATTTATTTATGCTTATTTAAAAATTAGAGTATCTATTTTAAAGAAAAATATTGCGGAATTTGTTCTCAGAAAACATGATAAAGATATTATCAAAGCATTTCCGAAGAAATGTATTTTGTTTATATTAAAACATCGGGATGTCATCGTCATTACAGAAAGATAAGTATAAACCGACCTTACATTCATTTACACTAATGATTTACATCTCCGTTAATCTCTCAGTGTAATGTAGCTTCGTATCGATACTTGTGATACAAATAAACTGAGTGGGTCAGGTTGAGAAACCTGGTGAGTACATAGGGTTTTCAACCCACAATAATATAATTATTATGTTTAATCATCAAAGAGTTAACCCAACTTCCCATCCCCATTATCTACTTTATTCTTAAGGATCTGCCCTAAGAATAATTTATTCTTCATTCATTCATTCCTAAGGATTGTCCTAAGGAATAGGCACGAAGTCCATCGCTGTCAGGGTTTATCCAACAGGCACTAAGTCCATAGCTGTCGATGTTATCTGTTAGGCACTAAGTCCATAGCTGCCAATATCCATCTATATAGCACAAAATCCATAGCTTCCAACGTTCATTTATAAGGCACTAAGTCCATAGTTTCCAGGGTTTTTAGAGTACATCTTGTGAACACGTAGTTCAAAAACACTTATAGGTTGTGAGCCTGCTAGTGTTCCATTGGATTATCTAGAATAGTCCGTGGTCGTCATCTATACTCTGCTAGATGAATGGATCGTCGCTTGGGTCAAGGCTTCTCGTCATCTTTCACCTCTCATCATCTACATCATCTTTCATCTCTCATCATTCATCTCATCTTTCATCTACCCATCTTTACCCAATATATTTATAGGTATCAAAATACATATATAGTTTAAATCAAGTAAAATGTAACATACACGTTTAGTTATCGTGTTATGTAATTTTAAAAGTGAATAATATTATGAAATATTATGTGATATTGAGTATTGAGTTCTAATGGATAGTTTTTTCTAAAAATGAAGTAAAACTATGTTTAGAATCAATCAGAAAATATTGGAAGTCTTATGAGATTCTGATTAAAAGTCAAATATCGAAATTTAACGAAAATATAAAATTTGAAATAAGTAAAATTTTATTATTGAAAGTTGTAAAGAATCTCGTTAGAAACATTTAAGATAAAACCTCATCGAAATCCGAGTTATAACGAAGAAGTTATGACCAATCAAAGATCCGCGACAAAACCGGCACGACGCCGAATGACGTAAAAAGTGAGTTTTTGATAAACTACTTTTTCTCCTTGTTGATCTAAATGAAAGTCGTAGTATTTGTTAAACCGAGAATTTTCATAAAAAGAATGTCAAAATCTGACTTCGTATGAGGAAGTTATGATTTTTCTAAGTTTCAGAATAGCAGTAGACAGCTAAAAACTCGAAATAAAGATCGAGTGATTTTTAGCCGACGCAACCTAAATGAGAATCGAAGGTCTCGTCAATAGTAGTACAATGGTAAAAAGACTGACGAAAATGGACGTCGGATGAATAAGTTATGAATTTTTAACGTATTTTGCTGTCCCGGTCTGTTAAAAATAATAATATTAAAAATAATGTCAAAATTATCCAACGGAGTCAATACTAAAGTTGTAGAGTATATTCCCGCCTACGCGTGCATATAAAGAACGTCAAAAACGGAGCTCGTATGCGAAAGTTATGGATTTTTTAAGTTTGGGACACAAAAATCGAGAAAAATGCTAAAACTGAGGAATTTCGCATGGCTGGGGTTCGGCTACGTGACCTCGCATGCGAGATGCCCCGTGTCCGACGCGTGTTGCAGCCACCTCGCACCGAAGGCGCGGTCCTCTCCTGATCCGACGCGTGGCTAAGCGTTGACGCCTTCCGAGCTTCGCCATCTGTCCCCCCTCGCATGCGAGCCACGTGCTCGTTTCTCCTTGCTTCGGATCCGAGGCTCGCACCTATATAAAGGGTGCGAGACCTCCCGGGTAATTTTGGAAATTTCACACTTTTTACCCCTAAATCCAATTTTTAGCTATTTCAACTTCCCCCGAAGCCCCGGGATCATTCCCAACACCCGAGACACGTCCCGAAGTGCCCGAAGAGCCAGAGAAATTTATCTTTTCGGTTTGAAGCTCAACCCTCGCGGGGCCCGGTTTTCAAGAAAGCTCCCGGTTTTCATCGAAGAAAGCTAATTATAGTAACGAAGTGCTGCCCAAGTTACTATTTTAACCTCCAATTAATTCACGGTGAGTTCAATATATAGGAACAATTGTATGTTATGTGTTATATGTGCTATGTGCTTTTCCGTTGTTATTATTTCTGCTATTTATGATAGCAAAACTATACCTTTGACCATGTGATCAGTGAAAGGACTTAGATTCACGGTGCTACTGGTATGTAGCCTCTGGCCATGTAGAGCATGTCTCGTAAGAGAATGACTTCTATTCTATGGCATTGGCAGAAGGTTAGACAGGGCTGAAAGCCTGAAATCTACCAAAAATGTTTAATAAAAAATTGTATGTCTTCTGTGCCATTTGGGCCGAAGCTTTATTAATGTATATCAAGTATGGAAATTGTTATGTCTCATTGATTGTTATGGAAAGCATGTCGCATGATTCACATATGCCTTTGTTGTTCCTTGTTCCTCTTTGCTTCTGCCATATTGAAGTATATATATATGGCATAACGTTATATTGTATCTATTATTGAACCCACTAAGCGTCACCGCTTACCCCTCTCAATGTTTAACAAATTGCAGGAGATAAGTAACCAGTATAGTCGTATACTGTTGGAAGGTTTAGAATAGTTACAATATTACTTTTGTATTTAGGGATCATGTATATATAAAAGTATAGTATCCTGGGTAGTTGTGTAATATATAACACTTTGTAATAGTCGGTTGGTATCCAGTCGTTTGTAATCACTTTATCAATGTAAAATATTGTTTTTATGAATATGCATGTAGCATGTTTTGGAGTAACAATTGTCAAATATGAAAGTGTGGATCTTTCATAAAACGTGTATATTTTGTTCATCAAACACAGATATCAAGAACACAAATAATATGCACATATAACATGTAATTTATATTAAATACTTCATATCTATGTGTAAGATGAAAGTAACTATGCACTCACTTGTTAAAGTGATGACTCGAAATTCGGACAACGCTTCGCTTCTAACGATCGTCTTTTCCTTCGACGAAACAAGGGGATTTAGCGAAGAATCAGGCTTTGCGTGGGCAGAACTTCTGAGCCGAAATCTCTTCTTCTCAGGGCCTTCTGGCGCTCCGGAACTCGCTACTAACACCTAGGAGGTGCTAGGGAAAAGTCTTGAGGGTTTGGGGGTGTTTGGGAGAGAAATGGATGAGAAGATGTGAGAAAAATGATTGAAAACGCCTTCTATTTATAGGCTGCCAGCAGCCGTGTACGTTGGGCGTAATGGCCAAAACAACAGTACGTTGGGCGTACTTCGAGTTACGTTGGGCGTATTCCGTCCAGATGTCGCAATCTCGTTCCAAGCCGTGGGGATGAAGGTGTGGCCCAGATCTTGCCACGTGTCACTCGCTGGTTAATCCTAAACATTAATTATCTTCTAAATTCCGTAACTTTCGCATACGAGCTCCGTTTTTTATGTTCTTTATATCCACGCGTAGGTAGCGAAGTGATCTACAACTTTCATTCAGACTCCGTCGACTAATTTTGAATTTATTTTTATTATTATATTTTATCAGGCTTAGACAGTTAAAGTCCATTAAAAATTCATAACTTTGTCATCCGACGTCCGTTTTTGACTGTCTTTATATTTTTGAGCTCCTATTAATGAGATATTCAATTCTCATTTAGGTTGTGTCGGCTAAAAATCGATCAATCTAAAATTCGATTTCCGGGTTGTGCACTTTTATGCTAAATCTTAGAAAAATCATAACTTCGTCAAACGAAGTCAGATTTGGACGTTCTCTATATGCACACTCTCGGTTTAACGTCTACTACAACTTTTGTTTAGATTGCTAAGGTTAAAAAGTAGCTTATCATGAATTCACTTTTTACGTTACGTAGCGTCGTGCCGGTTTAGTTGTAAAATTTCGACGAGTCATAACTTCTGCGTTATAAGTCGAATTTCAGCGTTCTTTATATGCACAGAATCCTTGTGACATATACTATAACTTTGGTTAAGATTATTTATTCTAAATAATATTCTATCAAAAAAATCATTTTTAACGCTTATTACCTTTAAATTGACTAGCCCGAATCTGCGGGCGTTACAATAAATTTATTAGTTTCCAAGACAAGATATCAATTTTCCATCCATATGCCACCTAGAAAATCAAGGTCTCCGACAAGTCCATAAAAGAAAAAATTAATTAGGGGAATTAGCAACCACATTCACTACTTTTCCATTATTTTCTTCATTCCAATAAAAATAAATAAGACAAAACTGCAAAAGTGGTCCCTGTGGTATGCATTTTCTGGGGTTTTAGTCCAAACCACGACTTTTTTGGCTTCGTGGTCCTTTTGAGCTAGTTTCGTTGCGTTTTTTGGTCCCTTTGAATAGTGAAATGATTGTAATACCCTTGGGTTATTTATTTTTCATTTCTTTTTAAATCTAAAACTAGTATATTTATTTTAATAGTTAATAAATTAAGAAGGGGCCCACCTTTTTTTTCTCTCTCTCTCTCTCTCTCTCTCTCTCTCTCCAGATAAAAACCCATCATCTGGTTACAAACTCTCTTTCACGATTCCTTTCCTCTGTTCCTCACCAAAAACCCATCAACACTAGCACCATCATCACCATTGACGTTCACCTTCATCGTCCCGTCTGTGACATCCCCAATTTCACGGCCAGAAAAGACCGATTTGTTTATGCTTTATTTTCAAATCAGAGTAACCTTTTAAAGAAAAGTGTTGCGGAATTTGTTCCCAAAAGAAAATAATCAAAATATGATAAAGATTTATCAAAGCATTTCCGAAGAAATGTATTTTATTATATTAAAACCTCGGGATGTCATTGTTAATACATATCAAAAGCATAAACAATACAACATAGGTTTTACAACATTTATTTGTATCTACTGGCATATAATCCATAATTCTCTCGTCAAGTCATCCAACTATGCTCTTGTGCCACTACCTGTAATACAAGAAACTGAGTGGGTCAGGCTTGGAAGCCTGGTGAGCACATGGGGTTTTCAACCCACAATAAATAAGTTTATTAATTTCATCAAACCAAACAAACCCGATTACCCGTTCCCGTTATCCTCGCTTTACATCCCTAAGGCATCTATTATAAAGGACCTGGCCTAAGGATTTTCATCGGGGTGACAACACTGCTTAGGGGATACCTCAACAATTTATGTCCAATAAGGCAACCATAAGGGGGATGGAGTACTACTGGCGAACATTGAGTTCAAATAAACACCTACAGGTTGCGAGCCTGCTAGCGTTCCACTGGACTGTCTAGAAAAGTTTGTAGTCGTCATCTATACTCCGCTAGATGACTAGATCATCTTCAATATCGAGGCCTCTCATCATTTTATTTCATCACACATCAACTATTTCATCTACCCATGTTCTACCCAACATATTTGTAGATAGAAAATACATATATAGTCTAGATTTGAGAAACAAAGTTTAAATCTTTCATCCAGCATATATCTCAAAGTATAAAATACATATACAGTTTAGATCTGAAGAGAAAAAGTTTAGATCTGAAAAGAAAAAGTTTAGATCTGAAAATAAAAGTTTAGATATGAAAAGAAAAAGTTTAGATCTTGGAAAGAAAGAAGTTTAGATCTTTCATCCAGCATAGATCTCAGGTAAACAGATAATATGCACACATAACACGTAATTTATATAAAATACTTCATATCTATGTGTATGATGAAAGTAACTATGCACTCACTCGTTAAGGTGGTGATTCGGACAGCGCTTCGCTTCTTAAAATAATCTCCTTTGACGAAACAGCGGTTTTGCTAAAAACCGGGTTCTGCGCAGGCAGAGTTTCAAACTGAAAAACTCTTTTTATCGGAGTCTTCGGGCGCTCCGAGGCTTTCTTCTAGTGTTAGGAAGGTTTCCTAGGCTTGGGGTGGTTTGGGAGGTTTAAAGAGAGAGTAGAGAAAGAAAGAAGTGGTGAAAGTTGTGAGAAAAACGTATGGCCTCGCATCCTATTTATAGCCGCTGGAGCTTCGGTCTACGTAGGGCATACCTACGGAGGTACGCTAAGCGTACCTTGCTGCGCGGGGCGTACATGCGTACACTGGGCGTTCTGAGGGGCAGGTGTCCGAGTTTCGGTGGGGCGACGTGGAACGCTTCGGACCGCAGAAGGAAGAGAGACCGCGGGACATTCATTCTTCGTACGTGAGGCGTACTTTGGTCAACGCGGGGCGTCCGACAGTTACGCTGGGCGTAGCCTCGCACCAGCTCGCAAATTCCTATCTCGACTTCTAAAATTCGTAACTTTCGCATACGAGCTCCGTTTTCTACGTTCTTTATATCCACGCGTAGGCGGGACCGTACTCTACAACTTTCGTTTAGACTCCGTCGGCAAATTTTGACTTTATTTTTAAAGTTATATTTTTAACAGGCCGGGATAGGAAAAGTCCGTTAAAAATTCATAACTTCTTCATCCGACGTCCGTTTTCGTCTGTCTTTTTATCGTTGAGCTACTATTAACGAGATCTTCGGTTCTCGTTTAGGTTGTGTCAGATAAAAAATCGGTAGATCCAATATGTGAACTTCGGGCTGCATACTGCTAAGCATGCTCTCGATTTAACGTATGCTATAAATTTCGTTTAGATCGCTAAGGCTAAAAAGCTCTTTATCGTAAACTCACTTTTTACGTCACGCAGTGTCGTGCCGGTTTTGTCGCGAAACTTCGATAGGCCATAACTTCTTCGTTATAACTCGGATTTC